TAACTTTATGTTATGAGATAACTTGTGTAACATTGTTTTACAGACGCTCTAAAATACAATACAAAAAGCCTATCATCAAGTTGTCATCATCATCATCATCATCATCACCAACTTATGAGGATAAACAAGAACACTCACTAGAACTTTCTTTCTGCTTCTCTCCAAAGTTAGTGTATTTCTAGCTGCATTACCGTCGGCCAACTCACTTGGCCGTTGACAAAGGCTCAGGCCCATGGTGGGGGCTCTCAGCTAACACCAGTCATTGTGTGCACCCTTTCTGTGCATTGAGATGGGGAAGGTGGTAGCTTAGTAATTAATCAGCCAAAAAAAACACCAGTCGCCTAAGAAGCAGGCCCTCCTGCATACTTGGCACTTGTATTCCCAGAAGCTCCCACCTAAAGAGATCTCTGCTCTTCCTAAATATAAACCCTACCCAAAGGCAAGTCATCTTAGCCACACTTCTGAGAGGGAGAGAAGCAATATTGTTAGGTTGGGTGTCATAATAGAGCCCAGGGCTAGAATCCTCAGAGGGGTTGGACAGTGCAGAGGAAATTTAAACTTGAGTGTTAATGAAATGCATGTGTCTAAGCTGAAAGACAATACAAAAATAGACATGGTTAAAGTTGAAGCGTGACTGCTGCCCTAAGCCATGGACAAGGTTGTTACGTGAATATCCTGTGGTTAACGGACAGTTGACCAGCCAGAGGGAACGCACTACTGGAGTTGGAAAAGCTTATTAAGCAGACTTTGAAGTGGGTCTTTCCAGGAAAACCCAAGAGTATAAGAGTAAAGATAACAACAATAATATGTGGGATGCAGGGTACTTCAGAACTATGAACAATTCCAAACAGCAAATACCTCCAAATATATTTTCAGCTTGGCATATACATGTATTTGCTTAAATTATCTAAAAATAGTGCTTGTAGAAACTGAGCCAACACTGCCTTGCCCTCATGCCTAAAGTAATAAATGCCCAATAACGGTTAATTTGCTTGATTAAACTGAGATGAGGAAGAACATTTAATATTGGATAATAAAAGGGAACAAGATGGGAAGTCAAAAGGGCTGGGTTTATGTCCCGGACACTCATCAGCCCTGTGGATCATGGATAAGTCGGTGCTGCCCTGAAACCCAGTTACTTAACTGCTTTCTTACAAAAAGAAAAAGTCAGATGCACCTGGTCAAGCCTGTCTCTAGCTTCCCTTACAGAACTCTTGTGAGAATCTAGGGGGATGTTTGTTAAGAAAGTGTTTTAAAAAGAGACCATACATCATTATTTTTAAGACATGGTATTTTCATAGCATGTCAGGCAACAGGGAGAAGCCAAGCTAGGATTGAGTTTTCTTGGCAATAAGTTATGTGCAAATTATTATATGATTTAACAAAAAATCAACCCCAGTGTTTTTTTCATATAGAAGTACTCATAAAATGCCTTTGCATCATACCTTGTTCAAATAGTGGCCTTAATATGTTTTATTCTGCCTTTATACTTAAGGTCATGTTGCACAGATCTTTGGGAATTCCATTGGGGAATTAAGAAGCATCAGGACACAGATACATTTCTATTAAAAGCATTATTTGCATTTGTTCCAAATTAACGTGTTTTTTTCAATGATAATATCACAGGATGCCTACCTCAACAATATGAAAATGTCTTCTTCAGAGGTGGGGATGTGACCGCCATGTACACCCTGAGCGCCCATCACTGCCAGGTGATGTGCACCTTCCACCCCAGGTGTTTGTCATTCAGTTTTCTCCCTGCAAGTATAACTAACGGCACAGATAAAAGGTAAAAGGTGATATTTCCTTATTGGGGAAGCCAGTCATTTTTCAAAATGGAAGCAGTTGTGTGCAAAGTGGTGCAGCATCTCACAGGGGTATGCTTCTCAAATGGGGTTCAAGAAATCACCTAGAGTGGATCTTACAAAAGGAATTTCTTAGGCTGACGCCCAGACCTACTGAACCAAAGTCGCTTTGTCCTGGAAACTGCATCCTAAACAAGTGCTGCATTCACTTAAAGTAGTAGAAGCTAGTCATTTTCTATCAAAGGTTTATAAGGAAAATGCTTGTGAATCGTCAGGTGAAGCGATTGTTTCAAGAAAGAATTTAATAACAGGTGTACATTTCACCTGCACAAGGACTCATGGTCACAAGTGTAGAGAGCACAGTCCTAAGAAAATAGAATGGAAAGCAAGCATTTTGTTGAGAATATAATTGAATAAGATCCAGAACTTGTGACCTTGGGAGGGGCCTGGACTGAATGGTGCTTATAGTAAGACAGTTGGGTCATCTAGGGTACGTATGGGGAGTGAATATATATATATATTTTTTCTTTTTTTATTGCTTAAAGTATTACAAAGAGCATTACATATGTCTCCTTGAATGAATATACATTTTTAACTGGTAGTTTGGAAAAGTAAGAGCACTGAAAAAATATTACCTAATAACATTAAAAATGTTATTAGGTCATAAAGTTGTCTAAATATAGCCATAGTTTCATTGTACTTTTCTTTAATTTTGATCAATGTCCAGAATGAATGTATCTTCATCATTCCCATTTCCACATTTATAATATTTTTTTAATCTTCACTCTATTTGAATTTTTTAAAAAATAGGAATTAGACAATCATCCTTTGATTCTAAGTGTTAAACTTGTACAGAAAAATCCAGATTTGATGTGAGAGGCATAACTTTTTAAATACTGTAAAAAGTTGAGCTAGGTTCTATAATCCTTCTGAATAATGACATTACCATTAAGATTGACATTAAAGATGGAAAAAAGTCTTTCATCAGGTGTGGACTAGAAGGAGTTAATAAGTAAGGTAAACACCATATGTAGATTCAACTCTCATGACTGACATAATTTCTTTTTTTGTTGTTGTTAATTCTCACCCAAGGATATTTTTCCTTTAATTTTTTTTAGAGAGACTGGAAGAGATAGAGAAAGACAGAGAGAAATATCGATGTGAGAGAAACACATCGATTGGTTGCCTCCTGTACGTGCTCTCACCAGGGCCCGGGTCTGCAACCAAGGTATGTGCCCTTGACTGGAATTGAACCTGGGACCCTTTGGTCCACAGGCCTACACTCTATCCACTGAGCCAAACTGGCTAGGGCTATCATTTCTTTTTTGTTTAATTTATTTCAGAGAGAGAAAGAGAGAGGGAGAGAGGGATAGAAACATTAATGATGAGAATCATTGATTGGCTGCCTCCTGCACACCCACTACTGGGGATCAAACCTGTAACTGGGTTATGTGTCCTGACCTGGAATCCAACTGTGACCTCCTGAGCCACACAGATGAGGAGGAAATAATTTCTTAAGTAAATGAAAGCATATATAAAAATAATCACTAGATAGGAACATAATTCCCCAAAAGTTTAGGACCTCAGGAACAGCTGTTAACTCTTTAATATGATTGACTTTCTTTACTTAAAAATGTGAATGTAAAGGAAAACAAGGCTGAAGTTAGGTATTAACAAATACCATTAAATATTATTGTATTGCCTCTAAGAATGTTCTTCCCAGCAAGTGTCAGGGAAGCTGCCCTGTTTTTCTTATTGCTGACTCTATTGACTAGTGTACAAAAATGCTAGACATTTCCTCGATGTGTGTTTATTACTCTACTTCCTAAGTGACGCTGCTTTTAAAAACAGGTTTGGTTGCTTCTTGAAAGACAGTGTTACAGGAGCTCTGCCAAGAGTGCCACGGAGAAGTGCCATTTCTGGACATTCCTTAAAGCAATGTGGTCATCGAATAAGTGGTAAGGTGTGGGTTTCTCAGCTCAATTTGCATGAATAATGAGTCTCCCTAAGAGTAGCTTCTGCTCCAAGTCCATATTCCCACAGATATGTGGAAGGGAGCGCTGAGAAAGATGACAGGGAGGTGTAGTGCTCTAGACGTATCTTCTTGTCTTTAGTCCACACATGCTCAGTGAGCCTCTATTATTTATGAGGTTAGCACTACAGGGTAAGAGTTGCAGAAAGGAAACACACATCCAGACAGTGGTCTTTCCCTTGATTCCCGATAAGAATCTTAAAGAGAACTCAGAGGGGGTCATCCCAGTGGTTCTTCCTGATTCTCACCCAGGGCCATGTTGTCATTTTTCCAGGGGGCATTTGACAGTGTTTGGAGACTTTTTTCAGTTGTTACAACTTGGGGATGATGCTATTAGCATCCAGTGAGTAGATATCAGAGATACTGCTAAACATTCCACAAGGCACAAGGAAGACCTCCAGCAAAGATACTCTGCCCCAAATATCAACACTGTGGAGGTTAAGAAGCCCTGCTAAGCCCCCACCCTGAAGGGCTGGGTTCTGACATTCTTGCTAAAAATAACACTGCGTAGAAGAAACATGAGGACTAGGAGGCCAGGAAACTTCAATTCTGATGCATATTGCTACTAATGTCTTGGGAAACAATTCCCACTCTATCCTCATAAATTTAATGCAAATGACCTATAACTCTCACATGACGGATCAGAAAACAAAAAAGTACTGAAAAGATTCTCTTAACTGGTAGGGTGGCAGAAACTAAAAGTAATCATGTCGGATCCTTCACCTTTGCTATTCTATGATTCCTACATACAGTTAACCTCATAGTTTCAAATTTCAGATGTTTACAAACTTTCCTCCCCCATTAACATCACTCCCTCAGCACACAACATTTTGTGCTTGCAGTTTGTAAAGTAAGCAGCCCTTAGTTATAAACATGGTGGCCGGACTCAGCCAATAGGAGGAGTACATTTCCTAATTTATAAGATCACATTTATATCTTAATATAATTTAGTGTAAATTATACAAGTAAGCATTATTTTTAATTATGGTATCATAGTGAAATTTAAAGAAAAACAATATTCTGCCTTTTCAATTCTCCGTATTGCTTTCCCACCCCCGCCATTAGTCTACTCACAGGGCTTGATTTATGTTACCTTTTAACTCTCCCTAAATAACTTTTAAAAAATTGAAGTGAAAAATGATTCCAGGCAAATGAAGATTCTAAACTCAGGACCAATTTTAGTTTAAAACATTTAGAAGTAGGTTTATAGCTTTAAACTAACCATAAAGAAAAGTTTTGGTCTGGAAGTATCCCATCCCAAGCCTTAGCCTGTTTCTTTTCTCATATGCAGCAGAATTGATAAGATATTCTATTTCTACAATCTGCAAACTCCTGTGTGTGTGAAGCACCGTGAATAGTCCATGGTCCTGCCCACCTCAATATATTGTTTTTCTAATACTTTGTGTATTTTCTGTCAGTCCCACCATTAAATCCAGTTTTAGGACTTTTTCAACCTTACCTCTTGGGAGTGGAACAATACATATAATAGATATTTTTTCTTTAAGGAAAAACAGAACCTAACTCATAAATTTGGTTCACTGTCTGTAAAAAAAATTATCTATCTTTTGTTCTATATAAGATACATTTTAATTGGAAGGGTGGTTAAGTGGAATTTAAGAAAATTAAAAGCAAGGAGGGAAATGGTTTCACCTTGTTTGTAAAGAACTCTCCACATTTTATGATAATGATGTAACATATAGATGTCAATCACAGGGCTTACAGATGCAATTTGCAACCAGAGAGGAGCAGTTGAAAACTGAGGGATAGGCAAAGAGATAAGATGCTCCTTCACTCAGTGCAAGAGGTCAAGGCTTTACTGAGGCAACTGCCTAGCACACAGTAGCAGGGCCTCACTGCTACTGCCTCATCTCCCACTGCTCATTGACCATTTCGGGGAAGTATTACCTGTATTGCTGCATACACCTTCCAGTTTTAGAAGGAAAGTAACCCCTCTCTATGCTAGTACTCTAACACATATTGGAATGTGTTTATTTCAAGCAGTTTGATCTTTTAATGATGTAATAAAAATTCAAAATCCCCTAATGAATAGGGCAGCTGCCACAACCAGAATATCACCCTTCAAAACTACACTGCCCAAATTGATGATCTGCTTCTAGAAGGGAAACTGAATTTGCTCTATGCATCTTATTTGTACAGCTTGCCACAGAGACATTTATGAAGGAATTGATATGAGAGGAGTCAATTTTAATGTGTCTAAAGTTGAAAGTGTTGAAGAATGCCAAAAAAGGTGCACCAATAACATTCACTGCAAATTTTTCACCTACGCCAGGCAAACATTTCACAATGTGGAGTACCGGTGAGCAGAATTCAGTGTTTGTTCTTTACCAGAGTGATTTTATGATTGAACTAGAGGCCCGGTGCATGAAATTCCTGTACTTGGGGGAGGGGAGGTCTTTCAGCCTGGCCTGTGTCCTCTTGCAGTTTGGGAGCCCTCAGGGGATGTCTGACCACTGGCTTAGACTCGCTCCCCTGGGGAGCGGGCTGGCAGTCGGATACCCTTAGTGCTGCCGCGGAGGTGGAAGAGGCTCCCGCCACTGCTGCTGCACTCGCCAGCTGTGAGCCTGGCTCAAGGCTTCTGGCTGAGTGGTACTCCCACTGTGGGAGCACACTGACCACCAGGGGGCAGCTCCTGCATTGAGCGTCTGCCCCCTCGTGGTAAATGCGTGTCATAGTGACCCGTCTTTCTGCCGTTCAGTTGGTTTGCATATTAGCTTTTTATTATATAGGATTGCATGCTTCTTAACCTTTCTAATTTTCCAACTGAAAACTAAACAGGGCTTTTAGACCTAAGCACTCTCCTTATACACTTACTTTTGGTGTCATTTTTCCCTGAAGAGAGTAATTTTCATTTGGTTCACAGATAGCCGTGCTTGTGGAATGAAGGTTCAGTAGAAAATGTCTTATAGAATAAGGTCTCTCACTCCATTCTCACCTTAACCTTTCCTCTGCAGAGGAGGAGGATGTATATTTCATTATCAGTCATTGTTTAGATTGTTTTGTTTATTTTTCACAAACCATGGAGCATTTCAACATGAAATGGATGGCTGTGTGGACCTTGCAGTGTAGGAAGCAAAGTAACCTATTTCTCCACCTTCAGGAACAGCTGCCTATTAAAGCACAGTTCAACTGGAACACCGACCAGTATAAAGGTGCTGAAAAACGTGGCATCTGGATTCTCCCTGAAGTCCTGTGCACTCTCAGAAATTGGTAATCCCATGGCTACTCTTTCACTAAGTAATTGTAGTAGGCGGAATAAGAGCTCTCCAAATGAGTTCACAACCTATGATTATGTGACCTGATAGGGCAGAAGGGGCTTTGTAGATGTGACTAAGTTCAGGACTTTGACATTGGAAATGATTCTGGATTATGTGGATGGGCCCAGTGAAGTGACAAGCTTCCTTATAAGAGAAATAGGGAGGCAGAAGGATCAGTCAGAGAGAGAAAAAGAGAGATTTGAAGATGGAGGAAGGGTCCATGAGCCAAGGAATGCAGTGGCCTCTAGAAGGAAAAGGCTAGGGAAGCCCTGACAACATGCTGATTGTAGCTCAGTAAGACCCATTTCAGACTTCTCCTCTCCAGAACTGTGAGATAATAGATGTGTTGTTCTAAACCACTAAGCTGATAATCATCTGTTACAGCAACAATGGGAGGCTAGTGCAATGATAAGTCAGAGAAAGCTAGAGGGTCATTTCTTGGTGGTGTCCATTGTCTATTCAAGTGACTCTAGCATAAGGAATCCATGAAACCCTGTGGTTTCAGATATACAAGTAATTTCAGTTTGAATTATCCAGGAAATTGCCATGACATTTTACCTTATTTAACCTATCATGGTGGAAATGATAAATTGTGATTGAAATCAAATCATTGATAGCCAATCCTACAAAGTATCAAGTGACAACTCTGTGCCAAGCCCTGTGGTGGGTGCTGGGCTAGGACCCCTCCGTGAAAGATTGGGAATTCAGCAACAATGCATTTCTCTTATTTGTTCCTTCTCTTCTCCAGAACCACCCTCCCCTCTCCCCTGATGTGTACCAGATCTATTGGTTCAAATGGTACTGATTTTTAATTTTTAATAGGAATATCTTTTTCTGTTTCTTCAAGAGTGATATTTTAATATAGTATATATTTTTCATAGTTTTTAGAATTTGATACATAATTTACATAATATAAATTTAACCCTGTTAAGATCTATGATTCAGTGGTTTTCACTGTATTCACAAAATTGTTCAACATTGACCACTATGCAGTCCCAGAACATTTTCTTTTTTGGGGGGCGGGGGGGCTCATCTGGGATATGAATCCCAGAACATTTTCATCATCGCCAAAGAAACACTGAATCCAATAGCAGTCATTCTCCATTCAGGGTGTGACTGAAAATTTATATTGCCACTTCAAAAGAGGATAACCAGGAGGGTAAGATATCTAGAAGTGATGGGCAATTTAAAAAATGGTTAAAGGAGTAAGCTAAAGATATTTCACCTGAAAAAGAGCCAGATGACTGTCTTAACTTTTTCTGTGTTTTGATGATCTGCCATTGGGAAAGGGATTAGTTTAATTTGTGTGGTTTTGTAAGCGAGATCTAGGTAAATGTTGTCATGAAGAAAATAAGAAAAGTTTCTAATACTAAGAGTGGCTCAGAAAGAAATGGCCTTTGTCATTAGGTAGTGAGCTCCTTATCAATGTAAATGTCTAAGTAAAACTTAGACAATTTGTTGGGGATACCTTTGAAAGGATGTAATTATAGCATGGATGACCCATAAGTTCTCTCCCAGCTTTAAGAGTCTATTAAAGATTTCAATAGTTGAGGTCTAATTTCTGAGCCTGCCTCTTTGAAGATAATTATGTTATGAAGGATACTCTCTCCTGATCTAATTTAGTGCATTTAAATTAAATGTTTTTTCTCTCCAATAATTGCTATCATTGTTATTTAACTTCTATAATTTTAATAGAATTTATGTGCTATCAAACTGAGTACAATAATATAAACACAAAATGTAATTCAAAATAAGATTAAATAAGAATAATGAAAGTGGATTTTCTTCTATTCTAATTTTATTGGGCACATGGCATTTTTGTTAGCTAACTGATACTTTTCTTTCTTATTTTTAAATGTGTTTTTATTGATTTCAGAGAGGAAGGAAGAAGGAAAGAGAGAGAGAAACATTAATGATGAGAGACAATCATTGATCAGCTGCTTCCTGCACACCCCCTACTGGAGATTGAACCCACAACCTGGGCATGTGCCCTCATAGAGAATGGAACCTTGACCTCCTGGCTCATGAGTTGACAACAACCACTAGACCACACTGGCAGGGTCTGATATTTTTCTTAATCTGTTTTTATTAAAATCTTATGCACAATACTCAAGACAATATAACACAAAACCTCATGTTTCTAAGGCCTGGAATTCAGGGTCAAGGTAATATAAAGAAAATATGAACCAATGCTGAGTAACCTATATATTTTGCATTGGTTAGTATAGAGCTAGGAGCATAGGTTGAGCTATTTTATTTCTCTGACATAGGAATCTGTCTTATATGAGAGTTAGACCAATTTTCCCTTCTTCCAAATGGCAAACAAGGTTGGGGAGATGTTGACATTTTTTTACTTAAGATGTTTAGTGCTGTGAATAGCCATAATTTCCTTAGTTGTAATGACCAAGTACATGTACATTTAGCGTTGCATCATTTCCTGAGTAGCACCTTCCCTCTGTGAGTTCACAGGCTGCCACATGAACATGTTCCAACATACGGCATTTTCGGATGTGGACGTTGCCAGAGTCATCACTCCAGATGCTTTTGTCTGTCGAACCATTTGCACCTATCACCCCAACTGCCTCTTCTTCACTTTCTATACCAATGCCTGGAATGTAGAATCGCAAAGGTGAGTTGGAATGTGTAGCGTTTGCTGCTGTCCAGTCATTGCTTTTATTTTATAGTTTTGAGTTTTTAAAAGTTTGGTTCATTTCCCTCAACATGCTGGACACCCAGCACTGAAGTAGATACTTTTCTGCCAGGTGCAAATTAGTTAGGAGATTAGCAGACTTCTGTACCCACCTCCTCTCACTCATCATACCATGGAGTCCAGGGACCAGCCATGGAAAAAGAAGGATCGGATCCCTTTCTTACTGATCTTATTGTTTTGTATCACTCACCGGGAGCATATTCTTCAAGCACCTCATTCTAACTCCTCTGTTTCAGAAACCAGAGCCCTGCTTATCCTGACCAACATTCTGGTTGATCTGTTTACCCTCAGATAACCCACCCTTTTCTTTGTATACAATAGGGAGCTAAGAGAACAGTATCTAGGCCTAGCCGGTGTGGCTCACTTGGTTGGGCATTGTGCATCCAGGGCACTGAATGATTGCGGGTTCAATTCCCAGTCAGGGCACGTGCTGGGTTGTGGGCTCAATCCCCAGTGGGGGGCGTGAGGGAGGCAGCCAATTGATGTTCTGCTCTCACATCGATGTTTCTCTTTTTTAAATAATAAAAAAAGTATCTAGTTATATAATAGTGTCAGCAGCATAAATCCCCAGAATGTGTTCTTTGTTCTCTTTTTTTCAACCAGTCCTGCAGTCTGAATTAGTTTGAAGAGACTCTCTCAGAAGAATAAAATTGGCAGGGTGCTGTTTTTTTAATTGGGTGCGATTTTCTTTCCCTTGCTTTTTTTTTTTTTTTTAAATAGAAATGTGTGTTTACTTAAGACTTCCAAAAGCGGGACACCAAGTTCCCCGACTCCTCAGGAAGACACCGTGTCTGGATATAGCCTTCTAACCTGCAAACGAACTTTGCCTGGTAATGTTTCAGTCATCTTACATATAATGTGACCGATTTTATTATCTTCAAGTAACAGTGATGAAACAATCCTCAGTGTACCTGAAACTTGTGTAAATGTGGTTTATTGCTTTTTGCATGTTATATCTTCTTATGTTTATATTCACCACAGAGCCCTGCCATTCAAAAATTTATGCAGGAGTTGATTTTGGAGGGGAAGAATTGAGTGTGTCCCTCGTTAAAGGAGCCAGAGGTTGCCAGGAGACCTGTACGAAGATGGTGCGCTGTCAGTTTTTCACGTACTCTTTACTCCCAGAAGACTGTCAAGGAGACAAGTTAGTGAGAGTTCATTTTTCCAAGATAGTCGGCAAGACAATTCCATGAAATGTCCCCGCTTGTGAGGGTTTACCCTTTGTTCTGATCATTTCATGCAGGTGTAAGTGTTCCTTACGATTATCTTTGGATGGCTCTCCGACTAGAATCACATATGGGATGCAAGCGAGCTCTGGCTATTCTTTGAGGTTGTGTCGAAGTGGGGATAGCTCCGGTGAGTGCACCCATGTTCCCATAGAGCTGTGAAGGGCCGTCTGCATTGTCCTCATAGCTTGCGGAGCCTTAATGTGATGGAATTCTGTATCTTTCTTTCTGGGCTGAGGAGGACTCCCACTCACCTCTGATTCCAGCCGTTAACTTGAACACCCTCTTTCCAGTGTGCACGACAAAACCCAGCGGACGCATTGTGGGAGGAACCAATTCCTCTTGGGGTGAGTGGCCCTGGCAGGTCAGCCTTCACGTGAAGTTGGCAGCCCAGAGCCACGTGTGTGGAGGGTCCATCATTGGAGACCGGTGGGTCCTCACTGCTGCCCATTGCTTTGATGGGTAAGTTTTGGCTTCTTGTTATCCAGGGTCCTATCTTGGTTTTTGGTTTTGAAGAGTCTAGAATTGATTTCTCAATCATCATGTCAGTTTCCGAATGGAAGATTATTCTTATTTAATAAAAAAAATATTTTAAAGCAGAGAAGATAGTAGAAATGTTGAACAAGTAGTAGGAGCTGAGCACTGACCAGTCTGAACCATGAGACCAAAGTGAGGTGTGTTAGCAGTCTTCTTCAAAGACGGTTTTTTCAGGCCCATGGATGCACAGATGTACTAAATAATATTAATAGTAAGTAGAAAAACAAAAATGCAATAGTTTGTTACCCTATTTTAAGAAATATATTCTGATATACTATTTCTACGTTATCAGGCAAATAGTAGACTTGACAGGATTTTAAAATTTTTAAAACACTTCGACTTTGTTGTTAGAACAGGGCTTCACTCCCAGCTCTGCCACTTGGCAGAGGTATGACTGACCTTGGGGAATTGTAATTCTCTCTTTCTTTTTTCTACCTGTAAAATATGAATAACAATAGTATCTAATTCATAAGGTTACTGGAAGGGTTGAGTGACACACTTGAAATGCTTAGTACTATACCTAGAACATAAAATTACTCAAATATAAACTCTGAATAAAAAAGAGTACAAAGGACAAAGCATGTGAATGAGCAAAAGAGATACTAGTAGCCCTAAAATAAAAGGCTCTTGATATCTTTCAAAAAGTGTTATTGTTTTCATAGAATTCCACACCCCACCTCCCTTCCCCATTATAAAATTACTGTGAGCCCGGCTGGTGTAGTTCAGTTGGTTGAGTGTTGCCCATGCACCAATCCATCACTGAATGATTCCTGGTCAGGGCACATGTGGGTTCGACCCCTCGTAGGGGGCATGCCGGAGGTAGCCGATCGATGTTTCTTTCTTTTTTTTAAAAAAAAAATATTTTTATTGATTTCAGAGAGGAAGGGAGAGGGAGAGAGAGAGAACCATTAATGAAGACAGAATCATTGATCGGCTACCTCCTGCACACCCCCTACTGGGGATCAGGTCCACAGCCTCCGGCATGTGCCCTTGACTAGAATTGAACCCGGGACCCTTTGGTCCATAGGCCAACACTCTATCCACTGAGTCAAACCAGCTAGGGCCGATTGATGTTTCTTATGGATGTTTCTATCTCTTTCCTTCTTACTCTCTCTCTCTCTCTCAAATCAATAAAAACATATTAAAAATAAAAATAAATAAAAGTTACTGTGAACCAGCATTCAGGATACTGCTGCTGAAATATAACAGGCAGAGGCAACATTGAACAGAGCCAGGCTCCCCCAGTCCCCACAGCAGCATGAGTCTCAGCTAGGGCTCTGCTCCCAGGGCGTTGCTAGGGGAAGGCTGCTGGCCTGGCTGGAAAGACTCTGTAAACAGAAGTAGTTGTTCCACTTTTTACTAAATTAACCCAATTTGGGACCAAGAATTTTCATCCTTTTTTCCCCCCAGCTTTATTGAGACATAATTGACAAGCAACATTGTGTAAATTTAAGGTGTACAATATCATGATTTATATATATAACTAACACATTATCACTCACATAGTTATAATTTTTTGTGAGTGATGAGACCTTTTAAGATTTACTCTTAACAACTTTCAAGTATGCAATACAGTGCAGTTAACCAATACAGTATAGTCACCTTGCTGTACATTACATTCCCAGACTTTATTCGTCCTATAACTGAAAGTTTGTACCCTTTGACCTACCCCTCCCTTCACCCCTCAGGCAACCACCAATCTGCTCTGTCTCTCTGAGTTAAGGATTTTAGATTCCACATATAAGTGAGATCACACAGTATTTGTCTTTCTCTGTATGATTTATATCACTTAGTGTGATGCCCTCAAGTTTCAGCCACGTGGTTGCAAATGGCAGGATGCCCTTCTTTTTAAGGCTGAATAATCTGTTGTATACACCACATGTTCTTTATCCACTCATCTGTGGATGGGCACTTAGGTTGTTGCCATGTCTTGGCTGTTGAAAATAATGCTACAGTGAACACAGAGGTGCAGATGTCTCTGAGAGATGGCGATTTTGTTTCCTTCTGATACATACCCAGAAGTGGGATTGCTGGACCATACGGTTCCATTTTTATTTTCTTGTGGAACCTCAGAGTGTTTTTCATAGTGGCTGCACCAGTTTACGTCAAGAATTTTCATTTTGAAGGCTCGGTGTTGTGTCTGTTTATAAGAGCTAGAGTTTTTGTGCTTGTCTTGCACCACTCATAATAAAAATTTCCATATCTTTACACAAAATAAGACTGCTATAATAATTTTAGGTTTACTTTGTATATGTTCAGATTTAAAGAGTTGATTTAAATGTTCATACTTCCCAAAATAAAATAGATAGATTTTTGAATGGCACTGAAGTCCTGCTTCATTTGCCCTCTTAGAGGGGCTTGTGAAACAGCCTGACTCCCAGGCAGCTCTGAGGGTCCCTGAGCAGTTGCTCTCAGGACTGTGAGCTGAGCAGGGCTTTCCAGGACCAATTCCTGTCGTGTCTCCCGACCAGTTTCTCCCAGAATGGGACAGTAACGCTGTTGTGCTTTCACTCACACCAACATGAAATCATTACAGAAATGTGTGTTTTCAGTGTTATTTAACTAAATCTTCAGAGATCCAGGACTGCTGGGTGGGCAATGA